CCCCCCCCCCCCCCGTGTTGCTGTTTGTTGTGCACCCTTCAGTCGTCTTAACTTTGATTCAGTCGGCGATGCAAGTTTAGGCCTCAAAAGTTTTACAAGTGTGTGTGTGTGTGTAGCAGGGAGTCTCCTGTGGACTGCAGTGTGGGCAAATGTAACAAGCTGGTGGGGGGAAACGACACCTCCCAGATGACCTATGGAACCTACATGGACGAGAAGAATGCCCCGCCCCCCAACATGACCACCAATGAGCGCAGAGTTATCGTTCCTGCAGGTACGAGTCGACCTCAGGAGTGACGTGTCTTTTTCTTTTTTTGAATCAAGCAATTCTGACAACAAGACACAATCTGGACTTCATAATCGTAAAAATAAAACCTGCGCACTACAGTCGCTACGTTCTTACAGCAGACTGGATTACTCTACAGTTTTAGTTTGAGTTTTAACAGTGCCATAAATATTTTTATATAATAAATGTCCAGTTTTTACATTGCTGGTTTGTAACAGAACACCTTGTTGAACTGTGCCATTTATATATATATATATATATAATCTAATATTTATAAATATAAAATGAAATAGAGCTTAAAAACAAAAGGGGAAATTAAATATTACACATTTTATCATTTTTTTTAAATTCATTCAACCTTCATTTATGCATGTCTCATTAGTCTCATTGAGCCTCGAGGACTCATTTACAAGATCAGTACAAATGATAAAAAGATAGAAACACAACAATAAGCAAAACTGATTTTTTTCAGAACAGTATTTAAAAAAAAAAAATCCTAGAAAAATGTCAGTTTCCTGTGGAAATGCAGTATGAATGTTTGGTGCTGAATTATTCTTGCTGAAGAAGCTAATAATAAAACCAAAAATCTTTAATTGCTGCCCTATCACTGCATGGGCAATTTGAACAGACAAAAATGTAGCCAAAAAGAGCTGAATGATTTGCTGAAACACTCGCAAATAGGAATAAATAAATAAAATTTAGGTTCAGAAGTAGCAAAAATACTTGCAAAAATAGCAGACAATGCTACATGTTTGCTGATTTAAGCAAAAAAGAATCAGAAATAAAAACAAAAATTGTGAAATTATCTAAAAACAGCTGAAATAGGAAAAAAAACATAACTGAAAGGTAGCTGAAAAAGCATGAAAAATATTAAATTAGTAGAAGAAAGCAGAATGAGCATGTTTGCTGAATTAAGCTGAAAGAAGTTGAAATTAGCACACAAAAAAAAATTAGCAAAAACATCTAAATATAGCTGAAAAAACACTAAACAGAAGCTGAAACGACATAAAAAGCTGAAATTATGATAAATAAGCTTGAATGTGCATCAAAATTTAAAAGCTGAAATTAGCAGAAAGTTAAAATAATTGTTAGTTGTGAGTTAGGGGAGTGGTGGTGCAGAGGTTTGAGGGGTTGGGCCTGTGATTGGAGGGTCACCGGTCAACTCCCCGGACCGACAACATCAAAATGCGGGTGGAAAAGGTGAAACACCCACACCTGCCTCCACCCTCATTTGTACCACTCTGGGCCCTTGAGCAAGGCCCTTAACACCCCACCCCCCAGCTGCTACCCGGGTGCCTTCTGCTTCACATGTGTGTTCACGTGTGCAATGGGAAAAATACAGAGAATTAATTTCCCCATTGGGGATTAAATTTTATTATTTAAAGAGTACAATTAAAAAAAAAGAAGCACAAAAAAAGCTGAAATTGTATGAAATAAGCTTGATTGAGCAAATAAAGGCAGACAAAATACTTGGAATTAGCTGAAAATGGAATTAGCAAAAAGCTAAAATTAGCACAAAGAAGCTGATAAAATCAGAACCAGAACAAAATGTGAAAGAGCAGTACAAGGTCGTAAACAGATCGAAGGATGCTCCATTCATTTTCAGGAAAAAAAATTAAAAAAATAAATAAAAAAGGAGACAAATCTAAATATTTCAACAAGCTAAAGTTGCACCAAAACCAAATAGCAGGCATGTCCTGAATGAGCTGAACGGTTTGATTCATGAATTGTTGAAATAGTCCATGAAGTTGTGGATGAGTATCGTGCCAAATAACACACAGAAGAATGATAACAGCGACAACAAAGAGAAACAGGAAAACTTTAGTGTGACTTCTTAATTTATTTATTTATTTTATTATTTTATTAACTATTTAGTGGTATAAACTCAAAGAACTGTCCACAGGCTGTTCCTAAAATACAGAGCATGAAAGAAAAGAATAGTTTGACCCAATTCTGTTCAGTTTGTTCTGTTTTCTGCACTGACACGTTAATGAACATTACTTTCTACAAGAAGCAGCAATATGTGCACATTTTCTGAAAATTAAAGGTCCACCTACAACCCTCATACCAGGTGCATTAGTAATAATAGAAATAAATGAATGTGTAATATTCATAATCTATAAACAAATCAAACGTATCATCATAAAACTATACATTTGTTGCAGAACATAATGCTGCTCTGAGCACACCAGTAAATAATGTCAAAGACCAAAAGGAACATTACGCAGATTTATTTTAGTCAGCAAACGCGTCTTTTTGGAGTCAAACATTTTATGAATGACTTAACATGAAAATCAAAACAATCATAACACGACGGTAACGTTCCTGAAAGGAATGCACGTTTCAAAAAGACAACCAACCTCGGACGTTGTCACATTTTAACATGACATTTCTGTACGGTTTGTCGTTTGGCAAGACAGTCATGTATGCATAATACTCAATTTAGGTAAAGATCTTCTATGCATCACGGCCGATTTCTTTGTTGTAAGTCAAATTTTCTTAAATGAAGCAATGAAACACTCATTCTCAAAAAATATTACTCAAGAAAAACAATGTTTGCGTGTAAGAAGTGCAATTCTCTTTAATTTTGGACAATTTAGTTTAGTTTAAAGGCACACAGACGTTAGATGTATCAGTTAGTAAAATATTTAAGGGACTACTGGCAATTTGTCTACAAGTGATTTAACGCTGCAGTTGTTTGGCCTCAGCAAACACAAAGTGTTCGTTTTACAGTATCTGAGCTAAAGTACCATGTGTTCGCAGGAGTTTTCCTCGTCACACAAACGCATCACAGCACGTCTGTTTAAAACTCTGAAACGCTATTAAAAAAAATTCTTTGTGCATGAGTTGATTTTGGTATCAAACATTATAAACACAAAAAGAGGTTTGGAAGTAAATACAACTCAATAATGTACCTTGAAATAAGCATTCAGCTTCTGGGAAACTCCTTCGATGTTTTATTCTTTTACAGTTAAAACGAGAACTTAGTAACCGTCTTGTTTTGAAGCAGTCACTGAGAATAAATTCATTTGTCCTCTGCCCCCACGTCTGTAAGATATACAATATTTCCCAGTAGCTTCCTATGAGTCTCAGTAAATAGGTTTGTTTTAATCCCAGTTTATAATTCTGCGCTCTCTTGTACTGGTTGCACTGCAGACCCGTCCCTGTGGTCGCAGGACCACGTGCGCCAGTGGCTGGAGTGGGCCATCAAGGAGTACGGCCTGTTGGAGATCGACATGTCCATGTTCCAAAACACGGACGGCAAAGAGCTCTGCAAGATGAACAAAGACGACTTCCTCCGCCTCACCTCCATGTACAATGCAGAAGTGCTTCTGTCTCATCTCAATTACCTCAGGGAAAGTAAGTCTGCTGCTTTTTTTTACAAACCAACAGACAGTAAAGAGGTCAGCGAGGGGAGACCATGGAACAGGAAGTGTGTTGTGACATGAACAGTTTGATGACCGCATAAATGATTCAGTACAAACAGATTTCTAAATTAGAAGCTGGTATTACATAAAGGAGTGAGTGCTCATCACCTGCTGCCCTGCATGATGAAGTAAAAAAGAAAAATCTTGCAGGGTTTGTCAGTGCTCAGAGTATGTGATGTGGATGATTCTCAGCTACTACCATGCCATATTTTATCTCAGTGTATTTTAAACGGACTCAGTGGTTTTAAAGACAATTACCACCAGGAGTCATCCGTTATTTTTACCCACTTCTTCTTTTCTGGGTCGTGGGGGTCAATGGTGCCCATATCCAGCAGTCACTGTGTGAGAGGCAGCGGACAGGTCTCCAGTCCATCACAAGGACACATGAGGCAAACAACCATTCACTCTCGCACTCATAGGGATAATTTAGAGTTACCAATCAGAATAACATGCATGTTTTTGGTCTGTGGGAGGAAACTGGAGTACCTGGAGAAAACCCACATGCACAGAGAGAACATGCAAACTCCACGGCCCCCTGGCCGGGGTTTGATCGGGCGACCTTCTCGTTGAGAGGCGACAGCTCTACCAATTGAGCCATCTTGAACTGGATTAATAATAATAACAATAATAATAATACATTTTATTTGTATAGCACTTTTCTAAATAGTCAAAGACGCTTTACATGAGTAAAAAATAAATAAAAAGTAAAATCAACAATGCATAACACACAAAAACACAGTAAAACATTAAAAAAAGGGCAAACTTAAACATTAAAATCAAATTTCAAACAGGTGGGTTTTGAGTTCCTTCTTAAAAGTGGAGAGATTGAAGCAAGCACGAAGCTGTTGGGGCAGTGAGTTCCAGAGGGTGGGGGCAGCGATGGAGAAGGCTCTGCCTCCCCAGGTTCGGAGCTTGGTCCTACAGGGGAGAGACGGAAGGTTGGCATCGGAGGAGCGGAGGGAACGAGAAGGAGTGTAGTGATGGAGTAGGTCGGTCAGGTATGGAGGGGCCAGATTATGGAGGGCTTTGAATGTGATGAGGAGGATCTTGAAATGGATGCGCTGAGTGACGGGGAGTCAGTGGAGTTTCTGCAGGACAGGAGTGATATGTTCACGGGAGCGGGTGTGGATGAGAAGGCAGACAGCAGAGTTTTGAATATATTGCAGTTTGTTGAGAGTTTTGGATGGTGTACCGTACAAAATGCTGTTGCAATAGTCAATTCTGGATGTGACAAAGGCAGGGATTAGGATTGACTTCACAAGTTAATCAACTGTAGATGCATGTCAGATGAATTTATATAAATGAATGAATGAATTAAATTTACTGAAGGTTTGACTAAATCATGTTCAATAGGGGGCAGCACGGTGGCGCAACTGGTAGAGCTGCTGCCTCTCAGCGAGCAGGTCCCTGGTTCAAACCCCGGTCCAGGGGCCTTTCTGGGTGGAGTTTGCATGTTCTCTCCGTGCATGTGTGGGTTTTCTCCGGGTGCTCCGGTTTCCTCCCACAGACCAAAAACATGCATGTTAGGCTGATTAGTAACTCTAAATTGTCCCTAGGTGTGAGTGAGAGAGAGAATGGTTGTTTGTCTCGTTGTCTCTATGTGTCCCTGTGATGGACTTGCGACCTGTCCAGGGTGTACCCCGCCCCTCGCACAGTGATTGCTGGATATGGGCACTGGCCACCCCCGTGACCCAAAATGGAATAAGCGGGTAAAGATAATGGATGTACGTTCAATAGGTCATTAAATATTTTGCTACACACAAGCAAATGAAAAAAGCACATACAGACACAAACTTTGAAAGAAGTACCAGGTGTAAAAGTCAGTCAAGAACAGTTTTGTTGCTGAATTACTTATATATATATATATATATATATATCCCTCCAAGTGAAAATGGTTCATCAAGGCAAGCTGAGAAAACAGGTTAGTCTAATTGAGTCATTAGGACTCATTTTCAAGAGAGACCTGTTTTAGACAGACAACATATAAAGTACAGACAACAATAATTCAATAAAAAGACCCCGGTCACCCAGCACAAACATTGCCCCGCTCCCCTCAGGAAGGAGGTTTAGGAGCATTAAGTGTAGAACCACTAGACTGAGGAGCAGCTTCTACCCTGAAGCTGTTAGACTCATGAATCTCTAACCAAGATAATCACTGTAATGCCACTAATTGAATATTTGTCACTTTATTCATGTTGCTGATCTCATGCTGCTGCTGATCTCAAGCTGCTGCTGATCTCATGCTGCTGCTGATCTCAAGCTGCTGTATTCATTCATACTCATCTGCTCACACAGACCCATATTCATGCTGCTGTTGTTATGCCGTATTATTTTGCATTATTAGTGTTTAGTACATACTAAACACTAATAATGCAAAATAATACGGCATAACAACAACGATCCAAGATATCTTGGATCATTTAGTGTATCATTTGGCATCTGTTTGGTGTATATCTTAGATCCTTATTTACTGTTTCTTTTTATATTTTATAATTTTGCTATTTTTGAACATAACTGGGACCCTGAGTACATCATTTTGTTCCACCTCATGTACCACATGTGATGTGAATGCCAATAAAAGAACCTTGAACAAATGTTTAAAATCCCTTAAGGAGATCAAGTTAGACAGTTTCTGATGTTGTTGCAAGGTGTTCCAGGAAACAGGAGCAGAGTAAGAGAAAGCCTTTTTGCCGAGTTCAGTTCGCACTGAGGGGACGCTGCAGGTAATGAATCCCTGAGAACGTGACATGTGGTAGGGGATGTATGAAGGCAGCAGACCAAGGAGTGATTTAAAGATGAAAATGTACCAGTGTGTGAGTCTGCGTGAAGTTATTGGTGAATACAGAGTGCAGTGATGAGTACGGTAGCCACTTATGAATCTTAGTGCCCCATAGTAGATGGTAACTCATTCTTCCACATGTTCTGCAGCGAGATGAAGGCCAGGTGCTTTGCCTCAGGAGGGAGCTTGACCTGAAATGTTCAGCACAGTAAAGAATGATGAGCTGCAGTTTGCAGCGAAGGCAGCTAAAAGTGAGCCTTGTGCCTCTGAAGTCTCGATCTCGCAGTCATCCTGTTTTATGTGTTTCTGTTGGGGGAAACACAGCCAGGCCTCTAAGGCAGTATGCTAATGAAAGTTTGATAGAAAACCTAACATCTGGCTGGGGTCTGGATACACAACTGATTGTCTTCTTTCAGAACAGTGTGAGCTCCTTCTGCTGCTGCAGAACATCACGACAGAATGTTGGGTGGAGCAGCTGCGAGCTCCACTATATTTAACTTTCCTCCCAAAAAATGTGACGGACCTTGATGTGACGTAATGGGAACTGTATTTTGTGGGTGTCAACAGTTTTCTCAGCGCGCTGCGTCTGGGCAGAGAGAGATGCTCGGCTTCAGAATAACAGGCTCATTGTGCGGCGCTGCAGCGGGTGGGTCCGTCTGACCGCACAGCAGCCTTCAGAATGACCAACGGCTGCAGCACAACTCTGAACCTTTCTGATTTATACCTCGTGTGGGTTGTAGACACGAGAGGATCCTTTGTGCTGGCATGTTGAAATTAATATGAATTAATTTGAATATTGTTCCACGTCCAGGCTGATCATCCAGTTTAGGCAAAACTCTAAAGAAGCAAAAAGGACATTTTAGTAACACCAGAAGACTAAAGGCAAGAGGAATCATTAAATATTCAGCATTCCTTGAAAGCACACAAACCGTTTGTTGCCTTTCATTTTAGAGTTAACTATGAACAACTAAGATGGGGAGAAGACGTTACAGCCGTTGGGTACAACTCTGTGATGACGTCATGTGACATTATCGCCTGCAACGCTGTGAGATCTGGTGAAATGTGTTAGTTCTCAAACTGTGTTACATAAGACTCTAAGTTACTACCACCATACATTTGAGTCCAATAGCTTTAAAACCGACAGCTTTGTAGCCAGTTAACTGTTCGCTGAGAACATGAAGCTGTGGTGGCCATTTTGAACTGAGCTAGCTTCTTAGTTGAATCAGTTGCAGATATTCGTTCAGGCATTACGTTCTGAGAGTTTCATTAAAATCTGTCCAGTGGTTCATGAGATAATTTGCTAACAGACAAACACATTGCACATTGTATAGCAAGTAGAGAAATTGTATTTCCTGTGAAAATGCAGTATGAATGCTTATTGCTGAAGAACAGCTGAAATTAGCTTTAAAAAACACGCTAAAATGTAGCTGAAATGGAAGAACAAGCCTAACTTAGCATAAGAAAGCAGAAAGAAAACATATTTGCTGAATTAGGTATAAATAAGCAGAAATGAGCACAAAAATTAAGAGAATAGCTAAAAAAAGAGCTGAAATGAGCAAAAAACAGCTGAAAAGTATAAAAAAAACAGAAAGAAGCTTAACTTAACAGAAGGACGTGGAACGAGCTAAAATGAGATAAAAATGCGGAATTAGGTGAAACAGCTAAATTTAGTACAAAAACAGCTAAATAGATGCTTAAATAGCAGAAAAAGCTGAAACTAGCAGAAATAAGTTGAAAGGAGGATAACAAGCTGAAATTGGCAGAAAAAAAGTTAGATGAAGCACAAAATGTTGTAGTTAGCAGAACGATCCCGAAAGGAGTGCAAAACAGATGAAAACAACAGCTGAAATTAGCTCAAAGTAGCTGAAAAAAGTTATAAGTTGCACAAGGAAACTGAAAGAAGCTGAACCAGAACAAAACTTGAAAGGAGCAGTAAAAGGTTGTAAACAGATCTAAAGATTTGAAGGATGTAAAATGAGCTCAGTTCATTTTATATGAGAAAAAAAGTTGCAGAAAAGGCTAAATATTTCAAAAAGCTAAAGTTGCACCAACACCAATAGTCATAGCAGGATTATCCTGAATGAGCTGAACGTTTCAATTTGTTGAAATAGCACAAAAAGTGTGGAATAAGAAAGATGCCGAAAAACGTATGG